ATGATCATCGATGAACCCAAGACTCCGTTTGTCTTCGAAGATGATTTGCCCAAGGAGTTGGATACAAATGCTCTTATCGAAAAGTTGCGCCAGACTTCGAAGTCGGAAATGCCGGCATTTGGGATCGAAGGTGACTCTGATGATTCTTCGGCGGACGATGACTTTCCCGAATCTGTGGAGGAGAAAGTGCGTAGGATGGAGTTTGAGAGCCGTCGCAGGCAGCACTACAAGGAGTTCTTTTCGGTTTCCCTGGCTCGACGACTTATAGCCGAGGAGTTCGGCGAGTCGACCACTTCCGAACCCAGTATTTGCAGTGAGAAGGTAGTGGAACAGAATGAGAACTGTTGTGAAGATGATCAAGACATCGACGGAGAAGCAAGCCGTTTTTCAGGCAGCAGATCCTCGCGTTCTGCCACCAATTCCGAATACAGGGCTTCAGAACGATCTGAACTCGAGCCCGGACTTTCTCCCAGCCATCATTGCTACCAGAAACTGAAGGCCGACATCTATAACCAGCCCCCGGAGGATTTGGCCTCGTTGAGTCACCTGCATCGTTTGCCGTCGGTCAACGATGATGATCCCAATCAGGATCTACGAGTTCCAAACACTTCCGTCGTTCCGAGTGAACGACAAACCTTAGAAGGTGTCAAGATAACACCGAAAGTCAGTAACTCAAAGTCGGGAACTGTACGTATTTGCAAAACCACTTCCGATACTCGGGCTGGGACCTCTAAGAAGGTGGCCCGCTAAAATTTTTAGGATTCTCTTTCCAATTGGGCGTGTTTTTATAACAAATTTAATGTTAGTCTATGAAAAATCCTGTGAACCCAGCAGGCTATAAGCTCGAAATTTATGTTAAGAATGCGATCTGTAAATAAATCTGGCAGTTAATTGTTCATATCTAGCCGAGTTGTTTTAACTAACGTTTTACCAGCTTAAAAGAATATATGAATTGTTTTAAAAGGAATTCACCTTAGCATTTTTGTAATGGCTTCTTTCTAAAATCTCTTTAATTTAAAGCTAAAAATCTGTCTTCAAAGTTTGTCAACCCATGGGTAATTTGTTTCCAATAATATTAGGGCATTTTAGTCACCTCATTTCTGCCCCGCCTAAGCTGCTTACCAAATTTCTAGACAGCTACCTTTGGCCTATCTAATTGTTGAGATCCTGATATGATTAGCCCACTCACCTTCAGTTGCTCCTTTTATGGGCACTTCGCCTTCTTAAGTTCACTGGACTGAGGAATATTTAATTACCCCATGACCAGACTGTAATTACCACTGGGCCAAGATAGAGATATAGAGAAGGCCAGGCAAAAGTTTGCCCAATAACTTATTTCGGCATTTTGTTTCGTAATTGAAAATTCCTTTTGACAGTCCAACCAGCCGAAGAGTTTTCCTTCCGGCCAATCGCCTTCATTCTGATTTAATGTTTTGGCCTTTTCAATTGTTAAGGTATCTGATTTCTGGCCCTGAATATTAGTCCTGGAATGTTACACCTGCAAAATCACTTGAAATAATTATGCAAGAGGTTTAATTTAGCCATTAAATGTCGTAGCAGTTCACTTTTATTATTATTAAGCTTTGGTCAATTCGTTTGCAAATGAAAGGACAACACAAAACCGGATAGAGGTTGAGAAGTTTGAGGTTGGAGGTTGGAAGTGTCATGAATATTTATAGGGGCCATGTTATCATTGAATAGATTTCAATTAGATTTATTTGCGAATACTTTGGCAGAGTGAAATGAATAAAAGCGACAAAGTTGGTCTTGTAAATTCAACTGAAACGATAAGGTCAAGTATTTAAAACCATAAATGGGGGAATTTAAAGACAACGCAAATATTCCGCCTTCAATATGTAAATAATAGTTGTTCAATTATTTCAGTGCATTTCTGAACTTGCATCAACATTGACAATTTGTTAAATGCAATTACCATTAAGAAAATCCCCCTTGTTCTTCCACCTTTGTGAAGCCAGGACATTTAATTGTTGATTCTTTACTCAAGGCTTTTAAATGCATTTAAACCGAAAAACACTTAAATTGGACAAACAACATGGATGGCTTAACCCGCTGGCAGCATCCTTAACCCCGTGAAGCCGTTAAATGCGAACTTGCCATTTGGCCAAGAAATGATGGCCGAAGTGAAATTTAAGTTGGCTCCAATTGATGGCCGCAGCATCTTTGTCTCCGTCCGTTTCTCCATCTCCGGACTCGAGTCCGGTTCCTCCTGGCATCTCCGTCGCCGCCTCGGTCTCCGTAACAATTGCCGTGTACATTTCATTAAGTGCATAAGCCCGTCCGGCTGTCAGCGCCCGCTTTCTCCCGCTTTCTCCACTTTGGTTCCTCCTTTCTTTGCCACTTCTGCCGTCTGCTCCTTTCGTGTGCAGCGTTTTTAAGCCGGAAAATTATTTTTAATGCTATTTACACTCACAAATGAAAATGCAAGCGCAAATAAAGGCCGTTAGCAGTCACGAACTGGCCAACAACTTAACTGGCATAAATGCCACTGACCAAAAAGAACATACATATATAAAATCGCAAGACGAGTTGCTAAGGGAGTAGTGTAAGCGAGGTGATACCTTAAGATTTAATATTAATTAGTTTTGGTTAAATCTATTAATTAAAGGTACTACTAACAACTGATTTTAAAATTCAAAATGAACTCAAAGAAAGTGCGATAAGGCCCAACGGCATTTTTCATTGAGCGTTATTGCATGCAACCTTAAAATAGTACTTTTCATTGTCAAGCACTGAAAAATAATTTAAATGTGAGATATTTGGAATACTGAGCTTAAAACTAAAATATATATATTATGTTGAATTGCTTTTACTCCCAGATATCGTAGAAGAATTTTATGTCCCTGAAATTCGTTTTCCAAAATTGGGACAGGGTGTTGAACAATTATTGGTAGTACTGACTACTGACTTTAAAAGTGCGATAAAGCCCTTCGGCGTTTGTCATTGGGCGTTATTGCATGCACCTTTAAAATTGTACTTTTCATTGTCAAGCATTAAAGAATAATATTTAAATGACAGATATTTTAAATACTGAGCTTAAAACTTAAATATTTTAATGCTATAGTGTTTTACTCCCAGATATTTTAGTAGCGTTTTATGTTGCCAAAACCCTTTAACCCAAATTGGCACAGGGTGTTGAAAAAACAGAAAGCGAGGCCAAGGCAAAGGCACTGCCTTAAATCAGCTGCACACTTTTCAGACATGGACCTCGACCTGAACGCGTGTCGCTAAAAAAGTTCGGCTAAATATTTGCGAAAGCATTTTCGCTATTTGCGATGGCATTTCGTGTGGCATGCGGCTTCTCCTCTCTGCCTTCTCTGTAGTCCCCATTCAGTCATCTCACGTTGCAAGTGCAGCACGCAAGGAAAAACTCAGGGGGCATGGGGATTTAGCCGGGGAACTGGGGATTGAGCTGCACTTGCTTCGCTGGGGCATCAATTTTCATTTTGATAAATTATAAAATGGCCCAGCACTGGCACCCCGAACACCGAACACCGAGCACATTCTCGTCCGGGGGATAAATGGATTGCCTGGCGATGGCCAGCATTAACCCATGGCAGGCAGCCTTGAAAATTGAATGCCAATGAATACGGAGAGGAGACAACAAAGCAGCTTAGATGGTTGAACGAATGGGGTATCGCCGTATACTATAAGGAGCGATTTTGGTAGCCACTTTATTGATACATCAATCATCGTAACTCGAAGCGGTTTAAAACCACTTTCGCTGTGGTTTATTGAATTAATGGATGGCCTGACTTTTAGAACTTTAAGCCAAACGAGAGCCAAGAAATGGTAGACTTAAAATTATACTGCCCATATTTATAATAATTCTGATGTCAAGTTTTGTTATTATATGTTGAAAAATATAAGTAATTATATAATTATAGTAAGTATACAATATATTAAATACTATATTTTATTAAAAAGAATGTGGCATATTCTATACTACTTTTTTTGGAACTTCAAAAATTTGTAAGTGATTCTTTAAAGCGGTTTTATAAAACTTTAATGGGTTAACAGACCAGTACAAACTAGCTAGGATCTTTCTTAGATATAGCGTATCATCATTAGGAGCTGGATTTTCTCCAATTCTCTTTCTCTCTCTCTCTATCACTTTTCCCTTTCCCCGCCATGTAAATGTAATGTTGCAAGTGTGGCCAGCCAGTGACATTGTTTAATTGATTGCCACTCAACTTTTTCTTTTTCCTCGAAACTAGCTGGAAAAGCTAATAAGGATTTATGTAGTTTTAAGTTTGTTGATTTTTTTGGTGCACCTGGTCAAACAGAAAAGAATTTTTTGGGGTGGGTCAGGACTAAGGATTGGGGTGTCACGAGCCAGAGGTCAGGGTCACGCCGGTCACCCTTTTTTTTAGGCTCCGCCTAAACAAATATGGAAATGCACGCAAGCCAAGAGCGAGCACGTAGTCAGGATAAGGACCAGAAAAATGTCCTTTTATTCCTCTGTTCTCTCTTTCTCTATCCACCTCTCTCTGCTTCCCCTGCGTGTGTTTATTTGTAATCAATTAAAGGATAAGGCAATATATTACAAAGCCAGCTGTCCCCGTTCCTTCACGAGTGGCGTGACTTGTTTGCTTAAAATACTGCAGCTGAGGGAAGTGTAACCCTCCTTCGTCACTCCTTTCCCTGGTTAATAATTACCTTATCAAGCACGCATGAATATTTTAATATTTTCGCACAAATTATCCACAAATTGGAATCAATGAATATTTTAGGCATAGATAGGTGTTCAGGGGTAAAATCATGCAAGGCTATTAATCATTTATACAAAATATGTTGCATTCTATTGAACTTAAAATGATAAGTCTTAAAACTTTTAGATTTAAAAGTCATGCACTAACATTAATGCGGAATTAAATGCATAACTCACAATTTATTCAATTAATAGGACAAAAAATAAACCATATTAAAAATGTTTAATACATCTAATACATGTTCTTGCGTTTTCATTCTTGCAGTCATGATTACCGGCCATCCGATGTTGTCGTATATGTTGTATTGTAGTTTTGTTTAGAGTTGCCACCTCTAAAGCGACTATTACCATTACTATTATTTCCGTTTCCCCAATTGTTATTGCTCGGCCAATTTCCTGGACCCATTCCATTTGGCCCACCAGGTGGTCCACCAGGTAGTCCATCAGGTGGTCCACCCATTCCATTTGGCCCACTAGGTGGTCCTCCCATTCCATTTTGACCACCTCTTCTGTTGTAACCGCCCTGGCCTCCCATTCCATTTCCACCCATTCCTCCGGGACCCATTCCATTGCTACCCATCCCATTGCCACTCATTCCGCCTGGTTCCATTCCATTACCATCCATTCCGCCTGGACCCATTCCATTGCCCCTCATTCCGTTTCCATTTCCTCCCCGGCCGCCCATTCCGTTTATACCGTTTCCACCCATTCCACCAGGACCCATTCCATTACCACCCATGCCCCCTTGTCCAATTCCATTGCCATTGCCTCCTCGCCCACCCATTCCCATTCCATTACCGCCCATTCCGTTTCCATTCCCTCCCATTCCATTACTGCCCATTCCATTACCGCCCATTCCATTTCCGCCCATTCCAGTTCCGCCCATTCCATTACCTATCATTCCATTTCCGTTCTGTGCACCCATTCCGTTTCCATTCGGTCCACCCATTCCATTCGGTCCACCCATTCCATTGCCACCGTTCCCTCCGTTATTCATTCCGTTGCCTCTGCCCATTCCACTTCCACCCATTCCGTATCCCTGCTGATTAGCTTGACGTTTTCGACGTTCCAAGACGACACCTTCACAAACCGTTATAAGATGTGTTTTTAATATTAGCTATAATATTAATAAAAGAATAATCGAACCTGAAGTGAAAGACTGGTGTTCCGTTCCTTCACATGTAGGATATATTCCGCATTGAGCGCCATCAATTTGATTAAAGCTTATACAGGGCTCTTTTGCTATAATGCACCTTTGACCGGGAGTGCATCCAATATCCCTGCAGTCACGTCCGTATTCTGATTCAGTTTAAAAAATTGTACGCACTTGAACTATATTTATTTTAAGCACTTACTTGAGTATCCCTGAACATTTACAACGGCTGCTATCATTAAATGTATCCAAACCAACTTTCCCATTTTCAAATCCTATTTTGGCTTTAGCCCACAACTGAAACTGCTCTATGAACTAACTTTCAAAACACCCCTATTTTTATACATTTCTAGCCAACACGCATGAAAAGGTATAGTAATTGTTTCTGTCAAAGTAAATTTACTAAATGGAAACATTAGGTTGGTCCAATTAAACATTGCTGATGGATTGGTGTACGTTCTAAGATAGTCACGGATTATTTATCGAATTTTTGGGATTGCGTTAAAAACTTTATTAAATAATTAGCTTTAAACTTTACCAAGGCAAAATCACAAATTAAGCAGTTGGGCTCAAATAGTTTTGGATACAAAAATTGGCTTACAAACTAATATATCAAATTAATAACTATAACATTATTAAATTTGAAAATTTATAACGACTTGTCAAACTATTAAACTGTCAATTAAATTTAAAAGAGCTCTATTAATGTAAAAAAATAATGTATGCTAGTTAAAATTTTGTTTATGTTAAAAGATACTACCTCATGAGTGTAATTATGGTCTTTTTCAAAATGTCAACTGCCTACTTAGCGCAAATGAGATTTTCTCGGCCTCCGTTTCCACAATTTACGAGCATAACAAATGAAACAAAGTTTTATTCTGTCGCCCGACACTTGGATATCTTCCATGGAAGTCGGAAAAGTTTGGACCGGGGACCAGTAAAAGGGAATTGTGGGAATATGTAGCTGCATCTTTATGCGCATATGTAAACATTTCCTGGCTACAAGAAGTGCAAAAATCCCATGGCTAAACTACTTTGGCTTAACACGGCCTCAAATTTTTGCCCAGTTGAAAAAGTTTGCAGCCCCAAGAATGTATATATCATCCTTATATATATTTCTTCCACAATGGTGTTATAATTCACAGCTTGAACCGGAACGGGAGTAAAAACTTTCACTTGAAAGAATGCTGAAATTAAATTAACAAAGTCAAGTACCGACTATGTTGAACACTTTTGCAGACGTTTGTTTTTTGAAAAAATAAAAGATAATTTGGTTTAAAATATAAGATTTGATTTGTTTTTTTTTAAATGCTAAAATCGATCCTTACTTTGGTTACACCAACTATGTTAAAATACATAAAAATGTAACCCTTTGATATCCGATACAATAAGGGAAAAAGTAGCTACCCAAAGTGTTTATTCAACAATGTAAAACGAAATAACAAACAAATACAAATTCGAAAATACTTTCATTATTCTACAATATTTGATTTTCCCTTCAGCACAAACCATTGACTGACTGACTGAAACTGGTCATAGATTGGATTTGGTTTTCATTTTTCACCCCCTTTATTTTTTATTTTTTATTGTTGCTTTCAGTAAAGAAATTTCGCAAACCAAAATTCCAGCCAGGCTGGTCAACGTTTGTTTGCACAGCTCTCCTCTGAAAAAGAGTTAAACAAAAAAATAATAAAAATGTGTACGCGATATAGAGACGAACCTGACAATTTAAACGAAATGGCCATTATTTAAGGAATTTTTTCGTTGAAGTGCCCGCCATTAAATTTATGCGCGATAGCTAAAATAAATATAAACACGAAATTATTTGCTTTTGGCTGCCAAAAGGTTATTGGCATAAATATCTTCATTGATTTTATGGCGTTAAAATTTCAATTTTTACCTGACAAATGGCTCTCATCTGCGCGTTTGTTTTTCCATTGATATATGTGGCACGGTGAAAGTTTAAATTGTGATTTTTAGGTGTGCATTGAAATATATCATTTTTTTAAGGATAAATATGATTTTTAAAGTGGTATAGCTTATGCTAAATATTTTATAGGTAATTTTCTTATCTGCCAAAAAGTAATAACTTTTCCGGAGCAAAAGCTAAAATCAGATTTCGTTTTCGTGCACTTTTAGCGCCAATTTAAAATCCGAAAAAAATACAAGCCAGTAAAACCGAAACCCAAAGCAGCCGCACAAAATCGGCGCCTGACCACACCCCCTTTTTGCCCCACAAACTGGGCGGACTCACACTCATCCTTTCTGTCCGGCGGAGACTTAACAGCTCGACAGCTGTCCGTCTGCGAGTGTGCATTCGTGCTTGTGTGGAAGTCCTGCACTTAAAAAACAGCACATATCTGGGTTTCTTAATTAATGCATACATATAAATATTTATTAAGGATATTCAGCCAATGAAAATAAAATAAAGATGGAAATAAAATACAACTTTATGATTTAAACTGAACAAAATAATGCAATTAAAATGAAACAAAGTTCAATGTTAATCAGTATTATTTAAAACAACGCCGTATTAAAAAAAAAAGCATTAAGAATACTTTTAAAAATATCATGTAAGATTTACTTATTTTGCAAATCGATAATATCGATATTTACTCCAAGCCATCAATGGTTAAAAGCTTTGGGAATCATCGATTGGTCACAGACAATAGCGATGATATCGCTCTGCAAAATATTTTAATTTTACATGATATTTTAAAAAGTTGATAATTCCCAATTTTTTATAATTATCAATATTATCGATAGTGTTATCGATTATTTTACCAAATCTACTAGAGAACACCTAATTTGTGTTTTTACGTTAGAAAACAGTTGACAGTTTGTTGAACATTTTAAGGAATAAATACTTAAATAAATTTTTAATTATTGTAAACATATTGCATATTAAATTATAATAAAACAATATTAAATCTTGTATTTTTGTAGTGTGTCCTTCTCAAGCGAGGTGTGTGTGTGCGTGCATCGTTTAGATTTAGTGCCGCTTGTTACGCTTTGATGTCATGTCATTTATAAGCGACGCAGCAGCTTCGGGCTGACCCCAGCCCCCCGTCACGCCCCTGCCATTTAGCCGCCCCCCTCCGAACCGCCACTGCCACTTCAGCACCACCCCACCACCCTAACCCCCCTAAAAACCACCCATCGCTGCAACGCAACAAAATGCAAACTGACAGTTTAGCATGGGAACAAGTTTTGGGGCAAAAGGAAACTTAACGTGACAGACCACGACAATGATGGTTGGTGGAAAACTTAAAGCGTGCTTAAAGCCCGGGGCAAAGGTCACGTGTTTGACCACCCCCTTTTTATCCGACCACCGCCTACCCATCGCACAAATTGGCAGACCAGCTGAGTAATTTACGCACAATAATCCGCATCGCTGAACTCTTCTTCCTTCGCTGGCCAGATGATTGATGTATGGACGTGTTAATTAGGTCCACTCGTGCCGCATTTGCACTCCACTCTGCGCGGCAAATAAGAAGAAAAAGTCAGAGATTAAAGACTCGGATCGCCGGCGAATAAAAAGGCAATAAAAATCTAAGCAAACGAGTGGGGTAACTTTCTTGGACGAATTGATTGATTTCTGGGCACAAGCACATTAATCAGGCCAGCCAGAAATGCTGATTTGATTCGAATCGCAGGCATGGCGAAAAAGTTTTACGCCCCTAAGCTCTTGATTATCAGTTAACCAGTTTTGCACGAGCCATTAGGAGAATGGTATTTTCTTTTTTGAACATGAAAAATGTGTGTTAGTCTAGATTAGAAATTATAATTACCCTTTATTAACTAAATATCATGTATAGTAAATTCTAAAATGAATAACTATAGTTCTTGGAATAAAATAAAAGCTCTTTGTATTGGGTTCTAATTAAACCAGTGGTATTATTTTACAATTTGGTAACATACCAAGTTTAAATTTTATATTAACTTTCATTTCAGATATTTTAAAATATTTTTAATGATAAGATGCATTAAAACAAGTAGAGTCTGGACCTTATATATAATATATATTCGAGTCCTTTTCTAAACTTTTGAACCGGATATCCAAAGGATATCTCGTAGTCCATAACTCGTCCATAATACCACACCTTTTTGCCCTGCCCTTAGGCTGAATTCTGACAAATTCAATTTATTTCAAGTTCTCAGATCAACACGAAAAAATGGCAAAAGCACAAAAAGTGCTGGCAAAAGTGAGGCGGCAAAGGCGGGTGCTGAAAAAGTGCAAGCTGTTCACTAAATCAAAAACAGATTTCGGTAACAAATTCGTTATGCACGTGACATGTCCAAACAATGCATGTGCCTCTTCCTGTGCCTGTGTTTGTGCTTCCCTCCCTGTGTGTGCGTGTGGTCGCCTAAAAGAAATTTGAATAAGTGAATTTAAAAAGCGTTGGCGGCGACTAAGGCTCCACAAAAAAGAGTGAATCACCTCCAACAAAAGTCAAACAACAACAAACAAAATACGAACGCAGGAAAAAAACGAATGGATGTTCTCATGGTAAAGCCAAGGACACTTTCATGAAATGCAATTTCGCACTTGTAAACTTTTATGGCTAGCCTGTGTGTGTGGTGCAAGAATGCCCTGGTTAGCTAGTTTAAAGCTGAAAGGTGGGGGATACAATTTTTTTTACTTAAATAGAGTCTTAAAAATTTTAAATTTTTTTTTATTTTAAACAATATTAATTTTTTGATTAATTAAAACCAGATTGAACCGAACGTCCAGATATTAAAATTATTAAATTGAAAAATTACACAGATTATTTTATTTCGATTAAAGTTTTTATATTAAACTCTTGAACTATGCTTTAACTAATCTTAGGTATATCATATCATATATCATATATATAGTTTCATGTTTTTATTATCCCTTGAAGAATGTTTTAACTAATATTATATTACATCATTTTAAATGTAATATTTTCTTTTATCTTACAAAGAATTTTTAATTTATATTTATGTTTTTATATTCTTTTGAACTATGCTTTAACTAATCTTATGTATATCACATAATATCATATATATAATTTCATGTTTTTATATTCTTTTAAAGAATGTTTTAACTAAAACTATATCATATCATTTTAAATGTCATATTTTCTGTAAGGAAACTAAAATTCTTTTTTATTATTTTGTGCATATGTTGAATTTAAATTTAACATATCATTATAGTTCGATTCAGCTCTGGTAAATTGTCGTAAAGTTTTCTCTATTTGACTACAAAACGTGAACAGCTGGGCAGCCCCACTGCACCACT